TGATTTACCTTCACCAGAAACGCTCAAAGCCCTGTTCATCGCCCTCAAACCGATAGAACTCTGGTTTGTATTTTATTTCAGTCAAATGGTCTGTTAAGCGTCCTGTTTGTCACCCTAAATCCGATATGACTTGTTTATGTATTTATTTCAGTCAGCAAATGCTGTGTCACTTGTACGTTTTGTCGCCCTAAATACGATAGAATTTGCATGATCATTTATTTCAGTCAAATGCTCTGATACGTCCTATTTGTCACCAAGCATCCGACAGAACTTGTTTGTGTATTTATTGCAGTCAATGTTCAGTAACTCGCCCTGTTTGTGGCCGAGAATCCGATAAATAATGATGATACTTTCCTGTTCTTGAGTCTTTATTGTAGTCAAATGCTCTGTTACCTGTCCTATCTGTGGCCGAGAGTCCGATAAACAATGATAACACTTTCTTGTTCTTGTTTCTTTATTGCAGTCAAATGATCTGTAACTCGCCATGTTTGTGGCCGAGAATCCGATAAACAACGATAACATTTTCTTGTTCTTGTGTTTTTATTTCAATCAAATGCTCTGTTACTCGTCCTGTTCATCTGAAAAATGTTACTATATACAGTTACAAAGAAGAGATTGACGTACCTTGTTGTCACACACCATATATAGATAGATTGATTGATTGTTGGTTGCTTAACGTCCAGTGGCAAATATTTCATGCATATTCAGGACGAGAACAAATTAACAATAAATACAATAGGTAGGTTCTGTAATAGGGGCGTCCGGGATTAAGGTCGGAGAAATTTAGACTGCCACGGGAAATGAGGGTATATTGGATAGGGACAGATATTTAGCCTTGCAACAGGTCACCTACGGACCCCTCAAAGAGTTGTTGCAAGGGTTCTTAACGTGCAAAGAGCGTGGCACTCTCTTTACACGAGGCATCGAATTTAACGTCCCCATTCTGACCGGACGTGGCTGCAAATTTGTACATCCCGCACAGCCATACGGACGCCCCACTTTAGCAAGGGTTTTACTGCCGGTCGGAGGAAGACCAATGGTGACCATACTTCTATTCCCCAGTCACCCTTGGGGACTATATAGATAGATATACTGTCAGTAAGCAGCATATTACATCACATACTCGACTATCCAAATCCAATATAATAAGAATATTTTTATCAGAACTCATAATTTCGGAAGGTTAAAGAGCTAGATAATTCATTTCAGGTGTATAGAGGGCTTATGGTCTGAATTTTCTCTATGGAATTTGAAAGTGGTTTTGTTTGTTTGGATTTTATATTATATCATTTGCGTTGTTCAATGATTTATTGAAATAATTCAACGTTTCGTTTTTTAGATTTGATCAATTTTTCAGTTAGTGTAACATACCGGTATTGCAATTATTTTTTTATCGTTAGAACCATTCTTTCAACTTTGACATTTTTTATTTACTCTAAGTAAAATGATTTGGACGCAAGTAAATCATACTTATGTATAGTCCTCTCCGAATCACAATAGAAGAAGAAGAAGAAGAAATGTATTGATCTAATCAAGAACACATAAAGGGCATCATTTTACAACAATATTATGCACAATATGATTGGAAAAAAGAAAAACAAGAACATAATATAATACTACCATGTTATGGACAGGATCAGAGCCTAACACATCATGTGTCTTACATAACTATTACAATAATTTCATAATAATTAAATATTGTTTTATATATTTTGTTTCCACCTGGATCTTATTTTTAAACACTTAATAATATAATTGCCTAGGCACATGAGAGTTGGTAAATGCTCATTTGTGAACAGCCAGATTTTTATTCTTGGGCAATTCTTTAAAATTAGTACAAAAACTGTTTACTTTATCCCATAATAATTTTCTCTGTTCGTTATATGAAGGACAACTTACTGAAAAATGGATTTCATCTTCAATAGAATTTGATCCATGTGATAAGCAGTGATGACATAGACGCTGAGTTCTCTCTATGTATTTTTTACTATATCTATCTTTCTCAATTTTAAGATCATGAGCACTTATTCTCATTTTACATATAGCTCTTCTTATATTAAAATCTTTAATTGATAAATAACCCTCCTTTACGAAGTCAGTCTTGAGGCTGAAATAATTTTCTAATTTACTATTACCTTCACTGTAAAAATTGTGTTTAGACCCTAAACACATTTCTAAGCACATCTTTTGTGCATTTTTTTTACATGTTTAGATCTAAACGTGTCTCAGTACAATGTGTTTAGGATTGTGTTTAGAATCGTGTTTAGCTTAGAAAAAAGTGTTTAATTTCTAAACACTTTCACTTTTAAACACATTAAAAGTGTTTAAATTCAAGACATGTTTAGATAGTATGTGCTTACTGAGAAATGTGTTTAGAGATTAAAGTTCATTAAACACAATCCTAAACACGTTTAGATCTAAACATGTAATACAAGTGTTTAATTTCTAAGCACGACTTTTACAGTGTTGTGATAAGGTAACAGATCTTTTGACCACCCAAAATGTTTTAAAACTGTTACAAAGTTTACATTTTACAAATTTAATTAATTTATTGAGCTTTGTATTCAAATTTTGAATATCAAGTGATTGAAGTACATATCTTATAGATGAATACCAACAATTAATGTTTCCTGCATCTAAAATTTTATTACAAACATAAGCATCATAAAGTAACCCATCGTCCAATTTGTTAAGCCTGTGTACATATTTTACCATAGATATAATGACAGAAAAATAAAGAGGAAACCTTGCAACCTCTGATAAAACTGCCAAATTTGAGGCTTTTTTGTTTACACCAAGAATATACTTTAGATATCTGAGATGTGATTTTTCCAAATAATCATTTATGTAAATTAATTCAAATAGATAATCTTAAATGTACCCCAAATTTCACTACAATATAATAAAATTGGTTTTATTGTGTGATCATATAAATGAATTGCAGTATCAATACTTGGATTACAAGATGATATGGATTTTTGTAATTTAAATTTTGCCTTTAAGGACTTTTTGAATAGCTCTTCTTTCCCCTGCTGAAAAAGACCACTAGAAGTAAAGACTATCCCTAAATTTTTATATCTTTTAACACATTCTATAACCTCATTATCTAAACAAAGTGATTCATTTAAAAAATTTCCAGGTTTGTTAAAAATCAAAACTTTTGTTTTGGACAATTTGATAAAATGATAAGGACCCTGCTTAATACAATAGACAGACTCGCTGAACCCGTTTTTTTTATCGCACTTGAACACTCAATATATAAAGACATGTCCTCCCACTCGAATCCATTGTACTATATCTGAAACATCTAGTATATTTTCTTACTCCATACTGCTGCGTGCTAAGCGAATAATCAGCAAATTAAAATTTAAAGTCTTTGTTTTGACCTGACCATAAATCAAACCCGATCTTCCAAATGCGAGACTAGCACGATAACCAATACACAACTACATTAAATGGGGGTTCTAACTTCAGACATCGCATTTAGCTAGTATACATAACGTCACAGTTGGACAATCGCACTTCAGCGTACCCACTAACGCACTTCAGTGTAGCTATCAACAAGTAAGCGTCACAATGTCACCATCGCACTTCAGCGTTTTAATCAACGCACTTCAGCGTGGACCATCGCACTTCAGCGTGACCATCGCGGTTCAGAGTCCTACATATATACTGCTACTTCCCAAGGGTTTCATCACTGCTCATGACTTTTTAGTACATTTTGGTTTATTATCAAGCGGTTATTTTTTTTAAATTGTACAATGTAGCTCCGTCATTCGTTTATAATTCGTTTAAAGCAGACATCACGTAGGGTCTTCTAAAAGTGAAGGAAAACCAACTATGATTACGCCTAATCCTCACTTTTAGCTATGTATACTGTGACTATTTCATTTTACTGAATAATTCAAGGTTTCGTCACTTTGTGGATGGCATCAGGCCTGAAATAAATGACAGAACAAGAAACTGGTTTGATTACTACTCTACTTTAGATAGAATAAGTATGTAAAAAAGTATATAAACATGATATGTACGAATTAAATTCCACGTGACGGCAGCTGAGACATTCGTGAAAAGAAGCAACAGCAAAATGTTCAATTTAAGCTTCCTTGGATTACGTGAACAAAGTAAAGAATTTATTATTGATTTGGAGAACTAATTTCAGTGTTAAAGTCAAAAGTATTGAATAAATAGATTGGAGTGTTGTATTGGTTCTTTAAAAAGATAGGAAATACTGCTGCACTTACTCATTTTAAAATCAATGCTCTAATTTATACTGTCAAAGAGATATGTACAATCCCATTAAAGAGAGGCGAAAGATACCATAGTGATATTCAAACTCATAAGTCGAAAACAAACTGACAATTCCATGGCCAAAAAAACGAAAAACGAAGAAAAGACACAGTACACAAAACACAACACAGAAAACTAAAAACTGAACAACACGAACCCCACCAAGAAACCGGGGTGATCTCAGGTGCTCTAGAATGGTTAGCAGATCCTATTCAACACGTGACACCTGTTGTGTTCCATTCGTGTAAGTAAAAACCTGGTGATAAGTTGAATTCGGTAGGTCATATTCGAGACAAAGAGGACGATATTGTAGTTACGACAATTGGAACATATCAGTCGTCATCTGTGAAACTGCAATTTCAATTTCAACGCTACAAATAATCTTTACAAAAGGTATTCAAACATAGATATCACAACTATGAGTAGTACAAATTCAATGACAGCAGATGAAAATTGTAGAGACATTCGTGAAAATAAATAACCACTAAAATGTTCAATCCAAACTCAAAATTGTGTTATGCGAACTAGGACTCAACTAGTTGAATTTGGAGAATATATTTCAGCGTTAGATTTAGAAAGAGAGTTTAAGATCTTTAAAAACACAGGGAATGACGCTACAATATACTCATTTTTAAATCAATCTGTCGTAAATATAACCGCATAAACTTGCATGTCATGTTTTACCTAGCCTGTATTAACACAGGTATTCACGTAGGTCATGTGAACATATCTATTTTCAGTTCAAAATCTAGAACAAAGGCTAGGAATTTTAGCTGGTGAAGAACCTGTTCATTCCACAAGTGTGAAGAGAGGAGCAAAAAGAAATAATGCCGTCGTACAAATTGTCGTATTTCAAAGGAAAAGGAAGGGGTGAACTAGCTCGATTGATGTTTGCTGCGGCAGGTAAAGAATACGAAGACGAACGACTAGCCGGGGAAACATGGCTGGCATTCAAACCAAGTAAGTATAAATAACTATCGTTTCTATACATGATAATTTGATCTGTGTTATTATGTGAGGAAGGATAATTGTAAGTAAACTTAGACCAAGATGTCATTAAATGTAATTTGATATTCTGCATTTATCGCTTTACCATAAAATAAGATAAAATTGGTGAAATCTATCTGTTTGAATTAACTATAATATAATTAGATACACCTAATCGGGATAAATGTCCTCATTGGTTTATCTCATACAAAACTCCTTATTTCTTAGCTGCATAGAAAGAAATTTGCTGATTCATCATGATTCATAGTAATAATTAACGACCATGGTTAATCATAACCAATTGACAAAACAACTGTTTTTACCATGAAATTTATTGTGATTACAGATAAACCTGTGTAACTGGAAAAGTTACAATTAAGGCAGGTCAAGATCTAGATTAATGGAAACTGAGAAACAAAAACACGTTTTTTGGGGGGATTTTGATGTGCATTTGGTATCGTTGCTTTAGAAAGTGTAAAATAAACTAAGTTGGGTAATTTGATATTATACCCTGTGGGTCAATGATTTGTATAAAACAGACCCTATTGTCGGTGATCACTACGGCATTATCATAGTATACAATAGGAGTTTTGCTCCCGATTGCAATTAAAAAACTTTATTTTTTGCTATCGTGACACAGCAGTTTTTATCTGTGTCTATAATACCTGTTGCATTTGCAGTACCAATTGGCAGTAATAGGTGTAAATAATATGGTTGTAAAAACATGTGATTGATTTGATTTGTATTGATTGATATGAACAATAGAGGAAAAGAACAATAGGTGGTTTAAACATGTACCGGAGTGAATCGTTTCAAACAAAATTTAGGTGGCCCGAGAACACAGTTATTTTCCCCTTTTTGTCTATTAAAACATAATGGCAATTAAAAAAAATTCCACCAGCTCTATTCTAATAAGATTTGGTGTGCATAAAGTTAGACTTTTATCCCAAAACATATCAAAAATTCTGAAAAGTCTACCAGCTCATTCTCTCCTGGTAACCCCAAACATAAGGACACCGGTAAGGATGAAGCCAGAGAGCTTCCGAGAAGAGGAAATTACACCTTTATTTACCTGACCAAATCACTCATTTCTACAGAAAATTTCAAAAAGATTTTTTTCAGACAGTATATTTGAAGTCTTATCTTTCACCTAAATACAAACAAATAATGAAAAATTCAAAAAAAGACAAAGAAAAAATAAGAAAAAAAACACTGAAATTAAAGGGAACTACATTTGTGGACAACAAAAATTAGAGGTAGATAACTGTGTCCTCGGACCAGGTGTTTGTTTAAATACTATCTTTCGTGTCTTCTGCATGGGTGGAAGAAAATTTGATTCTTTTTCATCTCAAAATAATTTTTTTTTAAACAATTCTAAAACATAAAATACATTTACCCGCATCATTTCACCAAAATAACTTATTTTAGAAGTTGATGTTCTTTTACTTATTTTTTCTGATATTTTTCAAAGATATTTTTGGTGTTTATTTTTCTATTTTTAAATGATAGATGCCTCATTCGAAGGCAGTAAGGGGACGACATTTAATATTCGGAAGGATGGGGTCCGAAGACAATAACATTTATTTTCAATAATCGGAAGGATTGTTTAAAGATATGATAGTGACCAAGAAACATTATTAAAGATGATAACGTACGACATATCATTCAGAGAGTTAGACCGTTTGATCTCTCATGTGATTTTTGCCTCGCCTGCAAATGTCACAGAATACGAGATATTAGTTATAATAATAATAACCGAGCAACAGCGGCGGCGTTAGCTCTTTGTATAATGCTTCACATTTCAGAAGGTGAAAGTGTAAAGCAAAATTCTATCCGGAAGAAATATCGTCTAGCGGAAAAAATATTATAGATGATATTGTAAGATTTTTCCGGAGGAAATTATTTCACTGTGATATATTTTCCTTTGCCATGAAATTTTTTTCCGGAAATTTCTACAGATAGAAGAAGGTGTGAAATTGTTGTTTTTTTTTTCAGTCAAAGTAGTCAGTTTTAACGATTAAAATATTGAAAAGTTAATAAAAAAACTAAATCTTTGCAAATACTATGGGCTAATAATGGAGTAATTAAATAAAAGCTAAATTGGAAATTAAAAAATCTAAGTAAATGTATTGTAATCGGAAATAATATCACAGATGTTAATTAAAAAATGATATCCTGAAATATTTTTTCAGTTAAATATCGTTCGTTTGAAAGACAAATTTTCATTTTCATAATCACAATATAAAAAGGAAAACAATCATCTTAAAACATATGTAACAAAATCAGAAATAATTTCACAGATCTTAATTGTGAAATAATATCCTGACGAATAAGAAAATATGGTAAGTGAAATACAGATACAAGTGAGTTGTTTTCAGATGTCAGTACAATTAAAACAGTAAAGGTAGAAATATAGTTACATCACTACAGTAATGGAGGAATCAGAGTATGATGATATTTTTAACTATATAAAGTCCCAAGAATATCGCATTGCATAAGTGAGAATTCAGTTTAATTTTTAATGTAGTTGTTGAAAATGTGACAAAATCAGATGAATCAAACCACATCAATATATAGGAACAAAAACAATTTAAACAGCTGGAAAGTATTTACCTGTGAAATATTTTCTGTATTATTAATTTTTAATTAAGGTCATCCTCTTATATTTAAAAAAATAAGAAAAAAGGAAACAATTTCTCCATAAAATTTATTCCGTAATATAATATCAATGAAATGAAAATCTCTCATAATTAACTCCCTTTGATTGATAAATTATGCAAATATGTTCTACCTTGGTGGCACATTTATAATTATGGTCATGTATATAAAGATTGTGAATACCATATTTAATTTGAATGCTTCTTTTTGTAAATATATTGGTTCCCCGCTTCATTCTAAAAATGTGCGCTCGGTCAACGCTTTTACAACCCTATAAAATTACTAAAAGAAGCATTCAATACTTATTATTACATTTTTTTGCTAGGATCATGAAAACACGATTTCTATCAAGTTTTTCTTTTGTTTATCTGTGCACTTTATTGTGGAAGCCCGTGTCTTCATGAATGTTACATTTCATGTTGCAATGAAGATTAATTTCAGAATGACGCGAGATTGCTGTTAGCTCATCAAAATAACGTATTATAATGAAACATACATGTAAAGTAATTATATAGTATTACCGACCGTGCGAGGGCTTTATAGCCAGTCAAGGTCGTTAAAAACCCCCATCATCATATAGTAGTCAATCAATGGGATTGTATTTCACAAGCTTATGTGAAATTTGGATGGGAAAGGATTTACTGTTAAATACTTTCCATATAAGATTGGAAGAATTTCACTCCTCCGGAAAAAATCTACCCGGGAAATAACATGTCTGGAAACTATTTTTCCTGTGACAAATCTTCCGCCGAAAAAAATATCACAGAGGAAGAAATAAAGCGTTACAAAAGACCTAGATACTTCATATCTTGTATGTTTTCCTTATCTTCAGGTTCAGTGTCTGCTAAAACAAAATATTATGTTTTATCATGTGATTTGTTTTTAGTAGTTGTGAGTAATATTTCAACTATATAAGTTATTTAGAACAAACTATATAAAGTATATAGAATAATTACAAGGTACAATATGGATCATATCTAACTTCTCTTTAGAATTGTCAGAATTATCTGTCGTAGAACTGTTCTAAACAGTTTTACCCTTAAACTGTTCTAGGGCATAACTGTAATAATCAGTTTTACCATAAAACTGTTCTATGGTAGACCTGTCAGTTTTACGGTGTCAGAATTGGTTCTAGGGTAGAACTGTCAGGATCTGTTCTAGGGTAGAACTGTCAGAATCAGTTTTACGGTGTCAGAATTAGTTATAGGGTATAACTGTCAGGATCAGTTTTACGGTGTCAGAATTGGTTCTAGGGTAGAACTGTCAGGATCTGTTCTAGGGTAGATCGATTCTAAATGATGTAAAACAAGAGCAGCTCTCTGATCGTGATTTGGAACAGAAGCAATTGCTGGATTTTACATTAGCTGTCAAATTTTGTTCACCGATTTGACTCAAATTCTTATATTCGATTTTAACCCGAATAATTCAGTCGTTATATACCACTGCTCTACGATGGCTACATTAACGCCTGAAGGACTAGTCAATAAAAAATCGTCAAATAATCATTCGGAATTAGCTCTGGATTTATCTATCTCGATAACATTAAGATATTAGCTGATTGGCTCTCTCTCTCACAGAGAGCACCAATCAAAATCCTGGATTCGTGACGCGTTTTTATCGTGTAAAGAGTTCAGGCCCTCGCGATTGGGAGAGTCGATCACGGGGAGGGACTGAATTATTCGGGTTAATTCGATTTATATATGTGTATTTACGCCATCTAATTAACCATCGAGGTGACCTCCGAAGATAGCCGACGGTCATATAACCCGATATAAACATAAACATAAACAAAGATATGAATAGATTGCGAACTCGTGCAATTAGATTTTTCTAGGTCTGTTTGATTTCATATTATAAGTTAAAAAAATATATTAATAATCGTTTTTACCTGTATAAGAATGAGTTTTTTTAGATCGATCAATCAACCAAATGGTTTACACTTGTTTCTCTTCCAATGTTTACATTCTTTTCCATTTAATGACTGAACACGCCTAGTTCATGCGTTTACCATCTCTAGCTATAGGGATCAATTAAAGTTCACATGAATACGGATCCAATGAGGTCGAATTATTCACTTGCAAGTTAATAATTCATTAGCGATGTTTCTTTGCTTAATTTGATAAAACTGAACCAAACTGGCTGTTTAAGGCTAATTATTCTTTCACTATTTCACTTTCGTCAATGATTGAATAAAAACAAATCATATTTTTTTTTTATATCTGGTAGCTAATGCCCCTTTAAATAATAAAAATAATAATAGTCTTCGATGTATGTTTTACTTCCATTATTTCTTATAAATAATTTTAATTAAAATATGTTTATTTGTATATAATAATGTGTAAGCAGTGATGAATTGTATTTCAAATATTTTCGTAATTATTATTAACAACAGAAGTAATGTGATATTCTCATTAGGACAATTTTACAGGTAGAGGAAAACTTTTGGGTGTTTATAACCTGCAAAATATTTGGATTACACAGTAACCTAATCAATTTCTCTGATAAAAAAATAATATATTAATAAACAAAATTAAAAGAAAGAAAGAAAGAAAGAAAATGCATAAATACACACATTAACTTGTTAAAAGATAAGTTGAATGAGAAAAATTAATAAAGAAAATTAACAGATTAATAAAACAATTTCAATAAATAAAAAAAAAGATAAGTTAAATGAATTAATTAAATAAAAAACTTATGAAATATATAAGGCTGTTCAAACTTATTCTAGACTTATAGAACTGTTAGGATCTGGCCTAGGATAAAACTATCAGAACCAGTTCCTAGGTGAGAACCGTCAGGATCGAGCCTAGGATAAAACTATCAGAACCAGTTCCTAGGTGAGAACCGTCAGAATCTGGCCTAGGATAAAACTATCAGAACCAGTTCCTAGGTGAGAACCGTCAGAACCAGTTCCTAGGTGAGAACCGTCAGAATCTGTTCTAGATTGAAACTGTCCAAAACTGTTCTAGGTTAGTAACTGTCCCAATAAAATAAAATTGAGAATGGAAATGGGGAATGTGTCAAAGAGACAACAACCCGACCAAAGAGCAGAAAACAGCCCAAGGCCACAAATGGGTCTTCAACACAGCGAGAAAATTCCGCACCCGGAGGCTGGCTTCAGCTGGTCCCTTAAACAAAAATGTGTACTAGTTCAGTGAAAATAGACGTCACTCTAAACTCCGACTTGGGACAGGCGCAAAAATGCGGCGGGGTTAAACATGTGTTGTGAGATCTCAACCCTCCCCCTATACCTCTAGCCACGATAGAATAAACAAACACACAGCAATACGCACATAAAAACTCAGTTCAAAAGAAGTCCGAGTCCGATGTCAGAATAGGTAACAGAAGAAACTAAGCAAAATGACAATGATACAAAAATTAACAAGGACTACTAGCAGTTACTGACATGCCAGCTCCAGACCTCAATTAAACTGATGACAATGATACAAAAATTAACAAGGACTACTAGCAGTTACTGACATGCCAGCTCCAGACCTCAATTAAACTGATGGAAAGATTATGTCTTCATCATATGATCAAGTACAATCCCTCCCGTTAAGGATTTAGTATCATTCCATCATAAAATATATGAGAAGAACATAACCCGTATCATGCCAACATGCAACTGGTTTTATGTGTTTATTTCCTATGCAAAGACCCTATGAGTGAATCAATATTAATTCCAAAAATGACCAAAAATATGCCATCTTTAATGACCTGACAACAGTATCGTAACTATATCCCTTCTGAATAAGTCTGTTTAAAGGTTTGGTTAGCTTTTGAGGTGAATGACGACATTTTGGTGCTTTGTTTAGAATATTACCATAAAAGATTGGATGTGAAATACCTGAACGTGTAAGATGTCTGCATGTTGATTTATATTTACGAATGATGTCCTTGTACCAATGATAAAATTTAGTAAACGTTTTGACTTGTTTGTGGTATCGAAAACCCTGTTGTAATAATTTTCAGTTGTATAGAGATTTCTTTCGTAAAATCAAATACGTTGTTACATACACGATCGAATCGAACAAATTGAGATATATAAACACCATAAGATAGTGACAAGGGAACGTCACCATCTTAAAAAGGATAATTAACAATAGGAAATGAAAAATCATCTCTTTTATCGTAAATTTTGGTATTAAGCTTCCCGTTAAAGATATAGATATCAAGATCCAGGAAAGGGCAGTGTTCATTGTTAGTATTAGCTTTATTTAAAGTCAGTTCAGCAGGATAACTCTCTGTTCTAGGATAGAACTGTCCAACACTGTTTTCTGGTAGAACCGCTTCTGTCAGAAACCCGCCCTGAAGGTGCCAGGAGAACTGTTCAACAGAGCTGGTCTAGAACAGATTTTAAGAGGTTAGAACTGATCCCAACTACATGCAGTGTAGTGAAGTAAACATCCTCTAGATTAAATTCATGACCATGTTCAGCAATGGATTAATGACGTACTAGTATGTTTGTATTCAATATACAAAATGATCGAACACCACTCTTTGTTAAAGCAAATTTTGCAGAAAGTAGAGCATTATGTATAAATATATCTGTTTTCATGTACAATGAACGACAAAGGGAGATTATTCAATAATAAAAATTGTCTACATATGTGTCTTTGTGTAGTAAGTTTACATCAATCGTTTCTCCCTCGTTGCTCTCAAACACTTTTACTCCTTAACAGTTATATTGTTTTCATTACAGAAACACCATATGGTCAGATGCCAGTTTTGACAGTAGACGGGACAATGATCAACCAGAGTGGTGCCATTTTCCGTTATCTAGCTCGAGATTTAGGTTAGTCTTATTTCTTTAATTCCGACTCCGATCTATACTTTCCTTGTTTGTTGATTATTATCATTATTTTTAACGCGTGGTTCGGCTTTTCTCAATTCTCTTTTTTCACAAACCATTTATGATGTAAAATTTGTTTGGTTTTGTCGGATTTTGATTTGTCAACGTCAGGAATAAAAGTTAAATAACGTTTTAGAGATAGAACACATTTTGTAGATCTTTGGAAAAGAGTTTTGATAGTTTAATACATAGCTAAACATATCTTACCATCCAGTTATTAACACTTGTGGTCCTACAGCATGCAGATACTTATATTTTAGCAAGCTTTTTCCAGAATGCTTATGACGTATTTACACTTAATCCATTGGAGTTGTACTAATAGATATTTTAGTCTGTAAATGCATAGTTTATTTTGTAAATTGAACATTTTAACTAGCATTCAGTAACTGTGAGTACCGATTTGATGACTCAAGCAATCCCTTTTCAACTGATTTTTACAGTTTGTTCTAATATTGCACTGTTACACCACTGTCTCAGGTTAGCGTAGCGCTTATCAAAAAGTAACCACCACAACATTCCTGATGACGATGACGATGACGATGACGATGACGACGACGATGATAACTTTTTTAATGCTATTCGGCGACCTGTAGTTGTTCACATTTATGTCCTTTAGTTCATAGTTGTCTAATTCACAACGAGGGTTAACAAAATGGCCTTATCATACCATCTTCTTTGAGGATTGCTTCTTTTTATTTAGAAAATTGTTGTAGATAGACAGAAACGTAAACAACACAAATGATTAACTATACAAGATCTATAAGAACTTACGAAAATTTTGTGAATATCTTTATTTGGTCCTCATTTTTGTCGAGCCTTCGACTTTTGTCGAAAAAGCGAGACATATAGAGATCCTTCATTCCGTCGGGGTCCACAAATATTCACTCTGTGGTTAAAGTTTTTGAAACCTATGATTGCGTTGGATAAAAACCGCAATTTTTATACGTGTGCATGCAAAACAAATTTCTTGATAGAGGGGTCTAAATACAGCACAAACAACATTTTCCAAAAGACCAAACAAGTGAAAAAGTATATCTTAACAATACGCATTTGACTAACAGGTCGAACAACAGATGTTCTTAAACCCTGCTGACTGCCATCGGCGATTGCCAAATAAAGGGATCAAAAGATGTTACAAGATGGATCTTTTAAAATTATTAATTTAATACCAAACAGAAAACAATAAACTTGCGGAAAAGATGATATATCGCAAAACAAAGAGTACAAAAATTAGTACACCATATCCGAATTTCGACAATTAATGTCTCTTCAGTGATGTTAGGGATCGCAACGGTATTTGGAAGGCCATATAATTTACCTCAATTTTGGATAGACTCTTGAATTTTGAGGAGTCGAAATATTAGAAATAGGACTTGCAAAAATAATTAAGAGTCCCCTGTCCTCAGCTCTAAAGACTAAGAGAGGTAGATTCCGCCTGTGCATGCGAAACAATACATCGCCACTCTACAATTAAATAAAGTAGAAAAAGTTTACCCTGCGGTCAACAATACAGTAATACCTTACGCACAAATTTCTCACATGTTTGACCCTGCGTTTAACAGTACAGTTTGTTATATGCCACACATAGATTCAAGCAGATGTTTTGCTCTGCTTTCAACAATACAGTAATACACCTCTTACAGATTTCAGCAGAGGAAATGAGGATAGATTGATTTTTGTTTGCAAAACATCCAGTTGAAAATATTTCATGCTATTCAGAACGATGATAATATTACATAAATTACAATAATTCAAATGAGTACTGCAAATTGTTTTGCCCGGGAAGGTTTGGCACTCTCTCGATGCACAGAGTGGGGAACTCTCCATTGATACGGATATCGGATTCAATTTTCATGTGTATAGCGTTGCAATCTCTAGACACGGGAATCAGATTCAATGTTGACATGCAGAGCGTGGCACTTTCTTGATACGGACATCGGATTCAATTTTACAGTGCAAAGCGTGGCATACTCTCGACATGCATATCGAATTCAATTTTGACGAAAAGAGCGTGGCACTCTATCGACACAGATATCGTTTTCAACGTGTACATGCAGAGTGTAGCAATCTGTCGACACGGATATTGGATACAATTTTATATACAAAGCGAGGCAATATCTGGACACGGATATCGGAAGAATATCGTCATGCAGAGTGGGGTATTCTATCGACACGCATATCGGAAACAACTTTGACTGCGGATTGTGGCCCTCTCTCGACACCTTTTTTCAGATTCGATTTTGACGTGCAGAGCTTGGCAATCTCTGAACACGTATAACGGATTCAATTTTGACGTTCAGAGCGTGACACACTCTAGACATAGATATCGTATTCATCTTTGACATGCAGAACGTAGAACTCTCTTGATACGGATATCGGCTTCAACTTTGGAGTGCAGAGCTTGGCACTCTCTTGACGTGCATATCGAATATAATTTTGACGTAAAGAGCGCTGCATTCTATCGACACAGATATCGCATTCAATTTGTACATGGAGAGAGTAGCACTCTCTGTACACGGATATTGGATTAATTTCGTCGTGCAGAGCGTGGTATTCTCTCGACACGCACATCGGAACCAATTTTGACTGTAGAGCATGACACTCTCGATTTTGACGTGCAGATCTTAGGTAGCAATACACAGTAAGGAAAAAAAACCTTTATTTTTAAACCATCTTATTTCCTTTGTGCTATGTATGTGCATATGTATGGAAACAGCATCTTTTGTAGATTTTATTTCCAATAGTTAAATGGTGAAAGATAATCTCTTTTTGGTGTAACCATGGCAACAATCTGCATTTATTTGATACAAAATCTGCATTTATTTGATACAAAATATTGCAAAAAGTGGGATAAAATGTCACAAAAGTCCCCACAATTTGGCCCAAAGTAGAATTTCATTATCCATTAGAGATCATTAGAGTGATACCTTTTCTGAAAGCATTGACATTTAACTATCAATAGGTCAAATAAAAATTATATGCATTTCACCTCATTTTTCCATAAAATTGAATTGAAAAGTTCTCGAGTCAAATATTTGTTGGAAAACATTACAAAAATTTTTGACCTATTGGCGTTACGGATGCCAAACAGAAAATGGCCTATAAAACATGTAAAATACAACCTTGATGTTCATATAATGCCACTTTGAAGACTATATTATTCTTTAGCTATCTAAAAATCAATTTTATTGCACTTTACCTTTCATATTTAAAAAAATTCACCGGAGCCAAAATGCGAAACCAAACTCCTAACTGTGTATTGCTACCTTAGCAATCTCTGGACACCGATAGTGGATTCAATTTTGACGTGCAGAGCGTGGCACCCTTTGGAAACGGATGTCGAATTTAACTAGGACGTACAGAACGTGGCACTCTCTTGACACAGATGTGGGATTCCTCATCCCTATTCTAACCGGACGGGTTACATATTCGGAGGGGTCGTCTGTGCATAATAAATGTGAAAATGATATTCGGAATGCATCTGAAGAGTTATTGAATAACAAAGAAATTAATAAGATTATGCATTATAAAGACGAAGGTAACTAACACGAGAAGTGGAAAGTTTACGTACTGGCAATTACACTTTAAATTGTTGGTGACAGGAATGATAGTTGTCGTTTATGCAACTGTTCTCAAACACGAATAAATCTTTACAATACTTTATATTATTTCCCAATTAAAATCCTCAGTTGGATTTAAGCAGTGAAAATTAGCTAGAACTTGATTTACTATTTTAAGAATGCAGTTTTCGTGTCAAATACCTTATAATTTCAGGTACATTATTTAGCTAGTTAGTATGACAATGTTTGAGTATATATTTTATGTATCTAGGATTGTATGGTAAGACTAATATGGAGAATACTACATGTGATATTTTTCTGGAAACAAATAACGATGTCATTCAAGATATGATAAAATATTTTTATGAGAAAGATGAAACAAAAAAGGTAAGTTATAAAGAGTAATACCAAAAAAGAGCAATCTGAACATTTCACTTTTTACAAGATATGAGCTTTGTCGGATATAAATCGACCTCATGCTAATCTAATGCACGTATGCATGTGCCTGTAGAAGACTTTGATTGATTTTGGAACATTCAAATACGAAGTAAAAGATGATTTTTTGCCTGTTTTGTAGGGTTCTAATATCAACTCATTTTTAAAAAAGTTATAGACTCTGTCTAAGGATTTTTCAACCCAAAATATGTTAACAGATGCATTGATATTCATTTGCATACGGTCGATTTCTATTCGACGCAGCTTATATTAAAAAACAATGAGTTCGTCCCTTCGAGGCAGAACGAGACCACTCCAAATTCATTCTTAGTTTTTCGGATTCGCTTGCGTCCAAACTTTGGAAACCTAAATTCTCGTCATTCCCTGAAGACTTTCTGAATTATTGTTACGTTTAAAAAAAATCAACATTATTTTTTTAAATGTCATGGCTTGTCCCACAATCACATACGCAATTTAAAATACGCCTTCCTCCAATCTACTAGTAATTGAAATAGAATCCTTTAATTGCTTCTGTTTTGATATGTTCAAAGGCAAAACAGAACGGTAGCAATTAAAAGATTTGATTTTGATTAGATTGCGCCTTCTCACCAAATTTCAAATATCGCTTGCTATATATCTTTATTCTCAATAAACCATATACATAGGTATAGAGAAGACATTTATGTACAATATTTATAATAAGACAGAACAAACAAAACAATTGCTAAGACAATATATGAAGTACAGTTTAGCCAGGAGCACATATACCTGTGTTGATAATCTTTATAAATTTACAAAGTTTAATCAGTTCTGATTTGTGTTTTGAAGACATAATCTGCTTGTATTTAACAGTATTTGCATTTTTGAAATAAAATTGTGACATACAATGTTTCCTGTTTTCTTCAAAGTATTTGCATTCTAATATGTAATGAAATTCATCACCAATGTCATTTTTACTACATAGAAGACACAGTCTATTATTTCTAACTATATTATTCCATCTACCCTGTTCAATAGGGAGCTTGTGATTTGTGGTCCTAAATCTACAAAAATCAATAGACAGTTTGTTCCCAAGAATTTCAAAATAATCTTCTTTTCCAAAAAAATCTTTAAAAAGTTTATAATTAAGTGCTTTTGGTGAGTTTTCAAGCAAAGAATGCCAGACTTGTACAAACTGATCTTTAAGTCTGAGCTTGATGAACGAAACTAACCATTTACAATTCATAAAAGATTGCGTTTCCCACACATTGGGGATACCACATTCATTTAAAATAGTCTTTACTCTGTTTAACCATGAAAATGCACATTGTCATTAATAGACATGTGATAACACAATTTATATAAAGTATATGATAGTTTTGTCTCATTACCAGAATTTAATTTCCCCCAAAATGAGATCAATCTAGTTTTTATGTCCAAGTCTATAGGATATCTTCCAAGCTCCCCATAAATCATGTAAGAGGGTGTTGATGTTTTCAGACCTAATAATAATTTACAAAATTTTAGTTGTACCCTTTCATCTCATTATTTCCAATACCCCATACTTCACAACCGTACAGTAATATTGGTTTCACCATTTTATCAAATAAGTCCAACTGACTACATATAGAGAGATTATGTAGACGACCTAGTCTTAACACTTCGTAAAGAGCCTTAGTAGCCTTTTCTACATTAAATTGCTTCGTTTTATTAAAATTACCTGTTCTTGTTAGAATTATGCCCAAATAGTTAAATTCATCAACGATATCCAGTTTTTTTTCATTTTTTCATGCTAAAACATTCATTATTGCTCGCTCGCTTCATGTTTGGTACATAACAGTTCGAAGAACAAATATTCACTTTGGATTGGCCTAATACATAACTCTATACATTTTATAGACCCCCATAGATGTGCAGGTTACAATATTGCTTTACCCCTCAGAGAATAACAATCTTACATTGATATTCTTACAAACAAAGAACACTTTTCCTTCCCTGGAAAAAATAATTGATATAGAATAAGAAGGTACAAAATTGAAGAATTAAAAAGTAATTACATATCAACAAAACGAATATAGAAAAATGTCACAAAAATTAATTGAATACCGAAGAAAGAATCTCTCTTTTTTTCAAAATGTATAATTCAATGCTGCAACAAGTTTAAGGAACATAACATTTTTTTAGGCAGAAGCATTAAAACATTTAAAGGAGAACACACTACCTAAGTTCTTGAAGTACATAACAACAGTTTTGGAGGGAAATGGCAACAAATATCTCGTTGGATCTGACGTAAGTTGTCCACAATTTCAACTTTGAAAAATAATGCAAATGTTCAGTGCAAGTTTTAAGTATGTATGCTCGGATGTGTGTATGGAGCAGAAGGGATTTTACAAATTTCATACCAACAGTTTGATATACATGTATTTACTGAAGGTATTCATGTTAAAAACAAATATCTACTTTATTCTAAAAAAATAAAAAAAAGTTAATTTGATGTAAATGTCAGAGTGAAAGTCATGAATAGTAGCATGATCAGCACATTTGCCTTTACCCAGTCGCGACATTGTGGTGATAGTAGAATAGTGTTTGGGAGAGTTTATTGCAGTAAATTTTTTTATTTATCGTTCGTATGAAAATTTGATGAGGAATTACCTTGCAGTTTCTTCACATATCAGCAAATAATTACACCAGTCCTATAATTGTAATATAAATTAACTTATATACGGATTGTGGCCAAAAACAAAAGCAAAACATCCACATCCACTTCATCTGAACTCTGGTGGATATGTGTCTCATTAGCAATCATTTATATAACATGTAACTTACAAAACGAAAGCATATAAACTTAAACAAACTTATAATTTGATAACGAGTCATATATCTTGAGAAGTAATAATTATTTTATATAGGAACTTTTGTTTAAAATTTATATTTGTGTTCATGGGCAGAGACTTTATTTTTTCCTGCAAATTTCAAAAGTCTGCTATAGAATTTTACACGATTATTTTTTATATAAAAGCCGGTCTTGTGGTTGTTTTACAACAGTTCCTTTGTTAAGTAATAACTACTTTGAATAAATATGTCTTTCACTATACATATTGATACTGTAAATAACGACAACTAGTATTTCCTTTACAGCTGACATTAGCGGATATTGCAGTATTCGATATTTTAGACCGATTCATATCTGATGCAACATTTTCCGGTTTCCTAAACGATTTCTCCGCTGTACAGAGCCTTGTCGATAGAGTAAAGACAGTTTCAAACATCAAGAAGTACCTGGAAAGCCGGCCAACCGATTTCTAGGTGTCATTGTGTGTCCGAATATTTTGTTGTTGTTTTGTTGTAGATAGACGTGGATACAGATTCATACATTCTACTCATTTGTTTATGAGTAGAAAAGACATCTCAGTGTTGTTGTCCATTAAAGAGCTTTTTTTGATAGAAATGTTTTGTTTTGTTTTATTCACAGATTGCATCAAAAGGATATTATTTTTGTTTTCACAAACTAGACCTTTCTTACTTAAAAATGTGGATACGTCGGTAATTTTTTTTTATTTTTTCAAAACATAAGTTTGGATTTTAGAGATGATGAGTTGTTTTGTCATAATTATCTGAATAAGTCCTGTCGGGAAAATATTTCAACAGACGCAGATTATGGATTATTATAACAAAGCTGTTACTATTTGTTTATTTTGGTAATAAAAAATGTAGCAGGGGTTATTCTGTGAAGTCATAGATGTCTTTTTCAAAAACAAAGTTCTCATCTACACCCGCTGAGCAAAATGAGCCAAATTTCATAACAATCCTTTGGATGTCTTGTTTGGAACTCGTTCTTGGAGTTTCTTTATCTTCGTTGCTAAAAGGACACCATGATGGAAGTAATAATGTAATACCTGGAAAACTGAAATAGATGGAAAAATTCTGATACGATTGAAAATGCTCTGAACGTCAAGACCACCTGTCTTCTGTTTACCAAATAAATAATCGACGAATGAAAAGACAAAAACTGTAGTCAGCAAAAGCTGTCAGCGATTCAATATCTATGGAACGCCGTAGCTGTCTTATTTGTTAAATTTTATGATATGATGATACTTTGTCATTATATGCTATTATGATACTATGTCATTATATACTAATAATTTGTCATTATATGCTGATACTTTGTCATTATATGCTGATAATTTGTCATCATATGCTGATACTTTGTCATTATATGCTGATAATTTGTCATCATATGCTGATACTCTGGCATTATGATACTTTGTCATGCTGATACTTTGTTATAATATGCTGATACCTTATCAGTATATGCTGATACTTTGTTATTATATGCTGAGACTTTATTATTATATGCTGATACTTTGTTATAATATGCTGATACTTTGTTATAATATACTGATACTTTGTCATTATATGCTGATACCTTATCATTATATGCTGATACTTTGTCATGCTGATACTATGTCATTATGATACTTCGTCATTATGATACTTTGTCATTATGATACTTTGTCATTATGATACTTAGCCATTATGATACTTCGTCATTATGATACTTTGTCATTATGATACTTAGCCATTATGATACTTCGTCATTATGATACTTTGTCATTATGATACTTTGTCATTATGATACTTAGCCATTATAATACATTGTCATTATGATACTTAGCCATTATGATACTTTGTCATTATGATACTTTGTCATTATGATACTTTGTCATTATGATACTTAGCCATTATGATACTTAGCCATTATGATACTTTGTCATTATGATACTTCGTCATTATGATACTTTGTCATTATGATACTTAGCCATTATGATACTTTGTCATTAGGATACTTTGTCATTAGGATACTTTGTCATTATGATACTTCGTCATTATGATACTTCGTCATTATGATACTTTGTCATTATGATACTTCGTCATTATGATACTTTGTCATTATGATACTTCGTCATTATGATACTTAGCCATTATAATACTTTGTCATTATGATACTTAGCCATTATGATACTTTGTCATTATGATACTTCGTCATTATGATACTTAGCCATTATAATACTTTGTCATTATAATACTTAGCCATTATGATACTTTGTCATTATGATACTTAGCCATTATGATACTTTGTTATTATATGCTGATACATTGTTGTTATTGGTGGTTTCAGTAGACTTGTAATGTTTCTAAAATGTGCCGACAACAACACATCCAAAACCGTTTTTTACTGTTACTTGTCTGGTGTTGCTAATTAAGATAAATAAGAAGGAGACATGATAACTGGCAAAAGTACCCACAACCAAAGGATAGAAAGACTTTGGAGAGACATTTTTGAAGGCGTTCTGTATTATTTTTATTATCTGTTCTATCATATGGAAGATGAAGGTATTATAGACCCATTATATTGAAACACTTAGCAGCACTATACGTTACATTTATTTGGAAGAAATAAACTGGAGGCTACAAGTTTAGGCAGTAGCGTGGTCTAGTCACAGAATACCAACAGTAAAATCATCTCTGAACTTGTTGACATCTGACCAATTGCAGAACACGTTAGACATTTCCCTCAATAAAACAGATTTGCAAGATCATGGTGTTGAAGAATATGTTTACACCACCTCTGAAGATGGACACAAACCAATATTTGAGCCCCTTACACAAATGCTTATTGAACAATGTAGACGGACATTATTGAAGAATAAATTAGAACCTAGGTTTTCTTTTTACCATTAGTACTAAAAATGGTAAAACTGCAGTAATGATTTCTGAAACTTGTGTATAGTTTGGGCAAAATATTATGGCAAGAGTCTCTTTTCACAAAATATTTTATACCCTACACAATAACGTTGAAGGGTATAACCATTTTGGACAGCTTTGTGTTTGGAGCAATCACTTAAATCATTTTGGCCTTAACTATGAGGAAAAAAGTCTGAATCTTACATGTCATGTGGGGGCAAGCAGACGTTTCCAATCTCCCAAATGACTAGTTCTAATTTTTTTCTGAAACTTAGTTAAAGTCAATAAAGTGTGTTGGCCATGTACTATTTTGATTGCAAGCTGAGTCTTCAGTAATGGCATGCCCACACCAAGTTATATAAAAAGGTCAACTAGTATATAAAAAAAGTATTGACGTGAAAGCGGCAGGTATTCCCAACACCAGTTGTTTGGTGTTGTTAGGTGTTTCACTATCTTTCATGTTGACTGGTATGTTTCCATTTGTATGTGATACTTTTGTATACCTAAATTCAGGCTTGTCTCCTAATGAATGGGTTGGACACAGTTACAGTCCGGCTAAGTATTTCATAAAACCTTCCAGTTTAGTCCTCTAAAAGAAAGGAAGGATATGGGATATTCATTCATGACACAAAATCAGTGCATGCATAGCAAAACACACAAAAAGCAAAGGAACAGCGCTTTTATTGCTTTTTTCATCTTAAAATCACAGTGAGGCCTTCAACACAGAGCTATTTATAATATTTGATATAATCATTGCCTCGGTATTAAATGACAAATGGTTACTGAAAGGTGAATGTAAAAAAATTATACCGACGTCAACAAAGTGAGGTTTTTATACTATAAATTCAGAAGTTACAGGTCAATGTCAAGGTGTGTATGATGCTTCTGCATACAAAGTTTTGTCAATCTAAGTGCTAGAGTTCATAAGGTATGCACCAAATACAATTCCGACAATGTTTTACTATCATAGGGGTCAATAGTCAAATTCAAGGTCAGAGTGACCTGACTTTGATATATAACACCCCCGATCCCGTGATGTATCAGCCTACCAAGTTCTATGGTACAAAAGTTATGATCAGGACACAAATCAGACCAGGTTTAACTATCATATGGATCAAAGGTCAGAGGTACCTGACATTTTTATATGACACACCCCAAGCCCATGCTGCAACTGCATACCAAGTTTGATTAATCTAAGTTTTACGGTACAAAAGATATGAGCCGGACACGAATATTATAAGGTTTTACTATCATAGGGGTCAAAGGTCATAGTCATGGTCAAAGTGATCTGACTTTGGTATATGACACACCACAAGCACATGATGCAACTACAAACCAAGTTTGGTTTACCTAAGTTTCAAAGTGCAAAAGTTATGAACTGGGCACGAATTGGAAAAGGTTTTACTATCATAGTGGTTAAAGGTCAAAATCAAGGTCAGAATGACCGGACTTTAGTATGTGACACATCCCCAGCCCATGATGCAACTGCATACTTAGTTTGGTTATCATAAGTTTTACTGTACAAAAGTTATGCAAGGGACCACGAAGCAGAACTGACGGACATGGTTATTCCTATTTGTTTTGTTTTTTTAGGGGGAGGAGGATATAACTTGAAAATGTATAATCAATGTCCTTGAGAGAACTGAAGAGTAAAGATTCCTTTCATTTTGGGAATTTGGGAATTAAAAAATCAAACATAAATTAAACCTCAAAACCGATCCGGTAATCGATTCCGTTTTTCCGGAAGTCAAAATGAGAAAGGACCATCACATAAAAAACTATCATCATATAATGACAAACTGTCAGCATATAATGACAAAGTATCAGCATATAATGACTAAGTATCAGCATATAGTGACAAAGTATCATAATGACAAAGTATCATAATGACAGAGTATCAGCATATAATGACAAAAATATCAGCATATAGTGACAAAGTACGTATCAGCATATAATGACCAACTATCATCATTTATAGTAACAAAGTACCAGTATATAATGACAAAGTATCATAATGAAAAGTATCAGCATATAATAACAAAATATCAGCATATAATGATAAAGTATCAGCATATAATGATAAAGTATCAGCATATAATAACAAAGTATCAGCATATAATGACAAAGTGTCGTCATAGCATACAATTTAACACATAAGACAGCTACGGCGTTCCATAAATATCTATTTGTTATATTCAATTTATTCTGTATAGGAGTTATTGCCATTGAAAAAAGATTTTAATGTCAATTCAGTATGGTTTATATTATCTTGGAATCTATTAAAGATAGAAACTGTAAGTAGTAAAAATGAACAACAGCACTTGGATTCCAAAACAAACCTGTCAAATATGACGGAAAATATCATCTGACTGCTTTGAGTTATTGGTCTATAATGACGTTTTTCTTACCAGTTTTATAGCTTTGGACTATATCATAAGAAACGTGCTATACACTGCAATCGTTCTATAAAAACTCATCAAAGATAACAAGCTTGTAATTTGAGCAGTCAAAATGAGTTGCCTGTATATTTGTATGTGACTGATTTCAACACATCACCATTTTGAAACGTAACAATTTTACTCCACTAATGTACAAAGACCTTTTCTAGATTGTACCTTTAAAAGCATATATCAAAATATTTTAAAAAAAAAATATTATAACACAAAGTTCGTATTAGATTGAAGTAAAAATACAACAATAGTATTGACTTGGCATAATACCGATATAAGGATTCGGCACGTAGAGATGCCCGACAGAACCTCGCATTTTTTCCCGTTACTAGTATCGTTTATCGCCTTTATCCCGATATAACTGGCTTGTGTATTAATTAACTTTAAATAGTTACTATAGCCACAAGACAGAGATATACGTGCCTTGATTTTACACAACATATATAGATGTAGGATTTCTGCAAATACCGTCAGTATGAGGCATACCACGGTCACATTTTTGACTACGCTAATCCAATAGAATAATGACATTTTTGTCAGAAGTGGATAAAGCTTAACCGTTCGTAAACTCGTCATATATACCAGGATTAAAATTTTGTACGCCAGACGCGCGTTTTGTCTACAAAAGACTCATCAGTGACGCTCGAATCAAAAAAGTTAAAAAGGCCAATAACGTTAGAAGAGCATTGAAGACCCATAATTCAGAAAGGTTTTGCCAAATACAGCTAACATTATCTATTCCTTGAGGTAAACAAATTCTTAGTATATTATGCCTATAGTTGGCTTCTGATCTGAATTTCTCGCTGGTATACGTCAGTTTTTGTATTTTTAAATTTGTTTTTATCTCATCTGCATGATTCAATGATTTATTAAAACAAACGGCAAGTTTTTGAGATTTAATTTTACTCGGTTAATATAAAATAATTGTATACCAACTATAGTTGGTGGTATATAGTTGGTCTTTAGAAACCTTAGAAGGTATACATGTGGTAGAGAAAACAAGACCTCAGTCTCTATTTTCACGGTCCACTGATAAACTTATAGTTTTCGTTATTATGTCATTTTCTCAGTTGGTATGGGAATATGTCAACTTTTTTTGTTGTATAGAATCATTATTATGTGTACTAGTTTGTCTGGCAGGGGTACCTGATCGTGACCTTATAGTCATGGTAAATTGATTTACGTTAAGTTTTATGATTAAGTCAGCACATTATCTGTTAATTAGTTAATGCTTGTTAAAAAAAATACCATGTTCATAATTGGAAATGGCACTGAAACTTCTCTGAAAATTTCATTGAAATTAATATCAGGTTAAGTTTGTGTTACATTTTCATAGTTAAAACAAAATTAGGAGATGTAAGTAACATTTTCTATTCATATATTTAAAAGCACACAAAACTGTATTAAACTTGACATGGAAACGATAAATACTGCTTCTTATTTTATATCAATATAAGACAGAAATTACATCCTTAAACAAGTAATACTGTAATACATTAGGATTCAAATGACATTCGTTATCTCTTGGTATTGTTTAATGTATTATACTATATAGATATCAATTTTTAAATTGAACCTTTTGTTCCGCCTTAGGGGATTTTATGTTTAAAGCCTTCAACTCGTATTTCAATAGAGAAATCAAAAATAAAAGTTTTAATCACATATTGAGTTTCCTGTATCATAGACAATGGTAATTATAAGGTATGATTTAGTATTTTGTTTGCATTAGCTGTTGTATAATGTGAATAAAATGAGAAAATAGACGTGTTTAACCGTTTAAGTATTAAGCTGAATTGTCTCTAAATGCCCCTAGATTTGTCTCTGAATAAGAGAGCGGCGGAAGATACCAAAGGGATAGTCGAAATCATCTGTCGGTAACGAACTGACAATGCCATGGCAAAATAACGATAAACCACCAAAACACAACAACAGTCTATAACACACAACATAGAAAACTAAAGACTCAGCAATACTTCTGACGTTATGCAACAGTCACTTTTTTATTATGGGGTCACATGTTTTAAATTGTGATGCAATATTTTGCGGGAACTTTCGTGGTTTTAGTTAATGGTAGACACATTTGCATACTAATGTAAATATGTCTAAGACTATTATCTACTGATTTGCAAACATCACAAGACTGTGTTAGCTAAGAAATGAAAGCAAATCAGAAAAATATAAGGCAAAATTTTGAAAAAAATGAAAGAAAAAAAAACTTAGCTTTGATGATGAGCTTGATCACATAAAAACCAACACACCCACAATAAATCCAACACACCCACACTAAAACCAACACACCAATAAGGAAAACCAACACACACACAAGGAAAACCATCACACCTATAAAGAAAACCACCACACCCACAAGAAAACCAACACATTCTCAAGGAAACCAACACATCCACAAGGAAAACCAACACACTGACAAGAAAGCCAACATATTCAAAAGGAATCCAACACACCCACAAGAAAACCCAACGTACTCACAAGGAAACCAGACACACAGATAGAATTATATGTATTATTCAAATACTTGTTAACATACAGTATAAAAATTCCGTTGGAATTTTTTTATTTGATTTGATGGCTCATTGAAAAAGAAAATTGTTTTATACATTGTATCCATTAAATACAATGAAAGAGTTTCTCTTGTTTGTTATTAACTTACTTACGTTCCACTTGGTATTTTGTTCTTTTGTATTATTCATACGTAGACACTTCCGGTATGATTAAAGACAAATAAATTTTGAAAAAAGACCAATAATCCGGCAGTAAAACTCAGGCTTACTCATGTCAAGTGGCAAGAATGTCATGCATATCCAGGAAAATCATCAAACGCAACAAAAGTTGTTTCTTAAATGTTTGTCGCATGGAATGAGAGGCGTAAAATATAAGCTGCCACTTAAAAAAGAGAATGCTCATTTCGATCTTTTTAGGTTTTTGTGGCTTTGATATTGCCGTTAGTGGTTGCGATGGCTACAAAGGTATCTGAGTTTAGAGAAAAAATGGCGAAAGTGCTTTGTTATTATAAGAGAAGAAAGGGTAGTTGTGGTGGTGATAGCAATTATTTTTTAAATGATAATTTGTATTTTAAAGAACTTTGTATATTCTCATGACCTTCTTTTGGTTCTATTCAATGTATGTCGGTATGAAATCTAATCCTAATTAGGCGACTCTATATCTGATCGTCTGCTGATAAGTCAGTTGGACTGTTTGTATGCTGCTTATATGTCTCAGACAAATTATTATTTCAGTTTGAAATGTTTTTATGATTTGATTTTAAATTCATGCGTAGATTTATAATTGAAATTTTCTGTAACTTATTTGTAGACGTTGAAGATTATATTAATAGGCGTTTCCTAATTTTTTTTTCGCACATGAAAATAAAACAAAGCAAATGAACAACATATTGTATTGCTATGTAGTGTTGTCATGGTTTCAAGGAAAGGGAGGCCATGTTAAATGTGGTTGTAAAAGCTAGACTTTAATATTAATGTCCACCTGTTGTTAATTCCTATTTTAACTCTTTTTTGTTGTGAGTGTAGACAATTTTATAAAATGCACAAAAAAAACACAGCAGAATGTTAGGTACATTAGTTTGCTTTAAGTTTATTCTATATTATTGGTTATTGTTTCGTTGCATGTGTTCCTGTTGCATATTATACCGGCATTATGAATTTTAGGGATTTGTTTTGCCGGAACCGATATTAATTTCTATTCTGAATTCTTTGCACATTTTTGTTATTCTACTGGTCGAGAAAAGGGGAGGGTTGTGTGCTAAAAAAACCAATTCAAATTTATTACATATTCATGTGCAATTCTCAATTCAGCGACCTCATCAGCGGAAGTCCTAATGTTATGTCCTTTGTATAAATTGACGTTGCTAGGTCTGTGTAAGTTTTATTAAAACCAGTCAAGGCTTTTCTCGACTCGGGACGATTTAGTGCTTGCCATATTATTTAGATGCTTGTCTTCTGTAGCAATCTGATTAAAATTCAGATCTATCGTAATTCGCTTACTCGTCGAAGCTGATATGAGCATAACGAAATCAGACATCTATATTTTAATTAGATTGTTTTTGTTGGAGACCTCATCTTGAACGTTAAATGTCTTCGATTATGTGTGGTTGGGCCCCTTGTTCCTTTTATTCATGTTGTAAACATGTGTCATTATTAGTGTTGATTCTTTCAAGTCCATTAGTTGATATGATTAGTTTGTACTTGCCTCATTTTTTTTCAAACCACACTCACAAGTTGAGAAACCACATACACACACCAACAATTAAAAACAAACCTTGTTTCTGCTCCTTTATACGATAACACTCCCTTGGTTATGTACTTTATAAATCAACTATTTTTTAAAGTCGGGGAAAATGTTAAATAAACTGAACATTATATAAAACTATATAGCAATAATTTTCTTTATTATTTGACCCAATTTATCAGAATATCATATTAAAATATTGTTACAAATGATATGGTTGTTAAAAGTTTCCATTGAAAATTACATTTTAAAATAAAGCATTTAAATCCTAAATATAAAGATTTGCACAAAAAATTTATAATTGTTTGAATTAGTCAATTACAACGTCAGATCAAGATATCTGGACCAAATTAAAAGTAATAAGTTTTAATATATAATTAAGGTTTCGACCTTGGTGGAATTTACATGAGAAAATTGTCTTAGATTTCACCTGTTAATATATAATTTGATCAAAAGGTACACATTTGGATTTATCTAATGATCGATCCTTGTGCTACTATCATGCCGAAATATTGACATAACTAAATCTTAACAGTGATACAAACGTGCCATTTTATATCATTTGATATTTTACTGTCTTTTAATTTCGTTAAAAGTAGAGAGGTATATATACATATATAGGTAGCACAGTACTTCTCGACTGAAGGTGTTACATTAGTGGACATTTTAAAATATAATGGTTTTTAAGGACTTACAATATTTTTAATTCAAAGAAGAGGGAGAAATGTTAATTAAAAGTAAGTCGATCTTGAAAATGTCAGTTTGAATTATGATAAGTATGAACGCAAATATATGAAGGTCTATATTTGAATAAGGAAACTTACTGTTTGTTAAAATAGAAGCCAAAGAGCAAATAAAATGTCAAATTTAGAAGTAAAGAAAGGAAATTGTGTTTACAAACGGGTATCGTTTGACCGGGATTGGCCCGAGCAATACTATCATCAGAACAACAGAAGTCGACAATCTTATAGGAGAAGTTTTAGTGATGATAGAGGTTACAGAAGTGGGAGTTTCCCTGATGGGTCAACACCTATAAGTCGTCGATCTAGATTGTCAGAGAGTGACAGCACTGTAGATAGTTTTGAATCTAAAGGAAAACGTAGGATTCTAAGAACCACTAGAAGTGATGCGGAACTGGTAAATAAAGATTTTCTGGCTCAAAGAAAAAGAACCCACTGGGATGTGCTAAATGAAAAACTAAACGAAGGAGGAATAGATAAATCTTGTGAGAATAAGAATAAGTGGAATTTTCTCCAAGGAAAAATACAATTTGTTGGGGTTTTAAGACGTATGATGTCTAAGGATTTAGTGGAAAGTAGAAAACAGAGGCTAGCAAAGCAAAAACAGGATGCTGCTAAGGTGAGTTAGATTGAATAATAATAGAACTAGAAGCATAGTGAAAATGTTTATAAATTAAGTAGGAAAAATTATTTATATAATTTTATAAAAGATCTAGATCTATTATAAAGTCAATATTTGTTCTTTTTTTCAGATAACTAATTTTTATGAGATGGTCTTTAATTTGAATATATATATCTATTAGACATTAGACATTATTTTATTTACCAATCATGGGCCCATGTCAGGCAAGATACATAAACATCATAATACAATAATTATTATAAAACATTCAAGTTTTATATAGTTGTTTATACATATGAAAAAATACCAAAAAAAAAGACATCTTGCTCATTAATATTATTATAAATGAATCAAAACGGTTGATAGTAACCTGAAAGTACACCCTTCTGACATAAGTTTTGTGGAGTTAAGATATTGTTATAATCTTTGGTAAAATATTAGTGTATAGATGCCAGTAAGATATTGGTATATTCTCTGGTAAAGTATCAGTGTATAGATGCCAGTAAGATATTGGTATATATCCGTTGGTAAAGTATCAGTGTATAGATGCCAGTAATGTATTGGTATATTCGTTGGTAAAGTTTCAGTGTATAGATACCTGTAAGATATTGGTATATTCTCTGGTAAAGTTTCAGTGTATAGATGCCTGTAAGATATTGGTATATATTCGTTGGTGAAGTATCAGTGTATAGATGCCAGTAAGGTATTGGTATATTCGTTGGTAAAGTTTCAGTGTATAGATGCCAGTAAGATATTGGTATATATTCGTTGGTAAAGTATCAGTGTATAGATGCCAGTAAGGTATTGGTATATATTCGTTGGTAAAGTTTCAGTGTATAGATGCCAGTAAGGTATTGGTATATTCGTTGGTATAGTATCAGTGTATAGATGCCAGTATGATATTGGTATATTCTTTGGTAAAGTTTCTGTGTATAAATGCCAGATAATCAACATTGCCATAAAACATGATAAATAATAATCAATGATCATAAGCCGTAAATAGTAAAGCAAGTCATTATTTTAACATATTTTATGGATAGTTCATAATTTGATATTTGTATGAACGAAGTCTCAAATTGACAGCATATATTTTCATTCCTCCTTCCTGACTGTGGGGTATTCGGTGACCGAATGGTCTTAGTAGTTCATCTACTGTATCACTGAGGTAATACGTTTGAACCCCGCATGTAGCAGGTGCGTTCGACTCCAATCTTAACTGACTAGGATTGCCAGTTTCCTCCACAATAAAATCTTGCCTCAACGATATAGCCAACAGTGCTTAAAGTGGCATTAAACACCAACAATCAATTAATCAATCAATCAATCCGAGTCATACAAGTGGGAGGTTTGATGTGCCTTATAACTTGCGTACAACAATAACAATTCACAACTAGTATCTCAATTGTTTGTAAAACAATTGAAAGGTCTTTCCTGTAAAAGTGATGTTTTCGTAACGTACTTTTTACGACCTTTCATTTGATATACGACAAGCATACCTTCTGAAACTTTTCGCTTTTTACACTTAATGACCCCATCCGCCTAATTTTTAAGATCGGAAGTATGATATATGTAATGTAGACTTGATGATCTTTCATTTGATATGCGACAACGCCATCTTCTAGAAAGTTTGATTTTTGCACTTAATAACCCCATCCAACTAGTTTTTGGAGAACAGGAATTTGATATTTGAAATGAACACGTTATGACCTTTCATTTGATATACAACAAACTTATCTTAAATGAAAATTTATATTTTGCACTCAATGACCCACCCAACCCATTTTTGGGGGACGTCAATTTGATATTTGAAATGTACGCTTTATGGACTTTCATTTGATATGCGACAACCTAACCATCTGAGAAGTTTGAATTTTTTGCACTAAATGACCCTACCCTTCCCACTGGGATGAAAAAGGGGTTTGAAATTTTCATTTTTGAGTAGAACTCATTTAGACCTTCAATTTTATATACATAATGACCACATTTGGCAAAGTGCCAAAAATGATGCAATATCAGAACTTATGAAACTTACAAAATCAATATAAAAGATGAAAATTTCAAATTGATTTGTCTGGGTTTTTTTTCATTTAATGTTTTTGGTAATTAGTCAAACATATAACCATGTTAAGCTCTTTAATTTCTCAAAATTTTAGAAGGTAAGCTGTTGCTGATTCTAAAATACATGCCTCCGCTCGCAAAATTTCAAACTGCATTATCTCTTAAACGACAACAGATATCTCAAATCTGCTAAGTGATAAATGATCTGCAGTTGAAGTACAACATTAGTCAAAAACAATTTGGACAATTCCAAGGTTCATCAAGGTCACAATGAATAATCAAATATATGATGTAATACCAAACTTGAGAACCGGAAGACGCAGAGACATGGGACTACCACCATTCAACTCAGGACCACTTGATCTTTCAAATGTCAAAAGGTCAAGGTCATAGTACACTTTGAAGGTCAAGGTAAAATTTCATCATGACCTGACATTGACCTCAAATTGAAGGTCTTTAAATACTGATAATTTTTGAAATTTATAGTAGGTTGATATCTGTTACCTTTAAAAAGATATACACACAATACTATACTTTTAAGAATTATCTCCTCGTAACTTTTGAACAGACGGTCGGACAGTTTTGAGCTTAATGTATAAAATGTAGAGTTTGTCGAGAGGAACGTTTTATAAACAGTATGTCTCAGCAAACTCTTATCGTTTTCTTAATATGTAAGCTTGAAATTGCAGCGTAAATTTTTTTTGCACTCAGTGACCTTTGACCTTGGGTGCAAATTAAAGGTGACATAAACTAAAGATTGTTGGTGAAGGTCCCAAGTCTCTACGACTTCCGGTTCTCGAAATAGAATTTTTCAAAAAATTTGTATAATTTTTAAAGGGAAATAACTCCTTATAAGGGTTAATACCCAACTGATTGTTTATGTTTATCAGCATTGCTATCTGTTCTTGTGCATGTTGCCATTTTCAAATCGATTCTATCTCTTATACTTTTAAAGAAAAATGCAAATAAAAGAAATTGCTTCAAGGGGACATAACTCTCAAAGGGGAAGATGAAATCCTACGCAGCCTCATATGGTAATACATCATGATGAGAGATCTACCTATAGTACAAATAAGGTCATGATATCTTAAAAAACAACGATGGGGGGGGGGGGGGGGGCATGTCGAAAAAAAACCAATAAAAGGGAGATAACTTCTAAAGGTAATGATGAAATCCTACACAGCTATATCTGGTAATACTTCATGATAAGGTCTATCGATGGTCCATATTTGGTCTTGATAACTTCAACAGAAACGGGGGAAGGGCATGTCAAAAAAAATGTTGGAAGGAAAAAAAAAAAAAAAAAAAAAACATTAGAAAAACAATAAGGTCTTTCCTAACGGAATGGAAAGACCTTAAAAATTCAAAGAGAAAACTAATAATTGATGTTGTCGTAACATAATACTAGTTAATATGTGTAATTTTCGTACTAATTTTGAATAACTACATAAATTGTTATTTGGCTACAATATAGTTGTCCAGAGGAGTATATTGGTGTTAACAATATGTTGTGGGTATTTTCAAATCAACACAGTTCCTTTAAATTATACAAGCACACTTTGAACAAGCTACGATCTATAGGTGATCTATAGGTGATGTCAATATTATTTATTTAAATAATAATTATTTACCATGCAGGGACCCGTTTAAATCCTTGACGTGATAAAGTGCTCATTGCAATAAATACTTTCCTTTTAAGAAGTTTGTACCTCAATTATGAATATGTTTGAGTGGAAACAGTATAATTCAATAATTTCTCTCAAGGCCTCCTCTAGAGTTAAATTGGTGAATCAAACTATAAAATTATCTTTCAATTTCGAAACTTTTAACATTTAATTCATGCTGAACGCAATTGATAATTGTAGCAAGAGTATACATTTCGGTCTATACCATACTTTTGTCCACTTCAAGGATGAACAAAAACTTAATTTAGTTATGGTATGGCAAAGAAAAAATGAAAATGTGTCATATCTAAATGTTGGGTTTTTTGGGTACTTTTGGTACGTTGGGATATTGGTGTTGAAAACAGGTATGTTAGCTTAATTCAATACGTTTCTAGACTCGACTTGTTTTAAGAGCTTGACATAACGTATTAACAGTATAAAATAAGGAAATGTGGTATGATAGCCAATGAGACAACTATCCACCAAATGACGCAAATGTTAGCAAGTCTACTTTGTTTCTAATAATTTTTAGAGTTTTTTTAACTTTAAATTTTAAAATGGCCGGGGATTTCCGTATGCTATGTGATAGCTCAGTAACGGTTTAAACAAATGACATCCTTGTCAATAATATCTAAGGCGAAAACCAGGGACTTTATTATGGTTTTATTTCATGAACATGAAAATAAAGACAACGCTCGTTGCGTTCATGACTAATTTTCTTTGTCCTCCTCACCATGACAACACATTTTAGCAACGATTCTGTTGTAATTATACTTACATTAAAGAGAATAAAAGAAAGAAAATTTACAAGCAAAATTTGTTATCATTTGAGCAAAGAAAGAAATGAGCCATAAGCATCTATTGTCATATTTTTTCATGAAAACCAAATTAAGTCCAAATACCCCGGTATAACAAATAAAAAAACCATCAACATTAAAATAAATGATTATCTTGATATCCTTCCTTAGATATTGTTGACAAATTTGATGTCCTCTCGTTATTTGAGTCGTTCATATATAGTTCTATAACCCAAAATTGACAATTCAAACAATCGGAAACAATTAAGTTGAGGAATTCTATTATTTTTACATTATGCTAAAATTTCATTAATATTTAACAAAGCAAATTTGATTTATTTTATATTTTATAGAATCATCCCTTTTTATATAATTGAAGTGCCATATTTCAATTAGAAAATTTAGACTAAATATTGTGCAATACAAACTTTAAAAAAAATTGTAATTAACGTTTGTAATTTATTTATAACACTTAGTT